CATTCCAAGTCTTATGACTTTCAATGCAATTCACATCTTTCCTTGCAATTCCAATGATATGGATTCACCAGCAATGTACTGATGAATCCAATCAACCAATATCACATGAACCCTAAGTTGCATAGTGACTAGGTTATGCCACCGCAAGGTGTCAGCATACTAAAGTGCTTGTAGATGCCTTCAAGACAGTGAGGCATCATAGCCAGGCCTTAACATATACTTATAGGCTGACACTAGTAAGTCCACTTTAATCAAGATCATAACTAAATCATTATTTGAAATTACCAGCCTCTGCAACTAACAACTTCTCCAGTTCTTTTCTTTTCTTTTCATCTCTTTGAATAGGAACTACAGCTGCTCATACAAGGAAAAACATACCTCAATAAACAATGAATACTTAGGTGCAGCACTCAAGTAGAAAGACAGAAAAGTTCTGCATCAATTAAATGACTTTAATACAATTAAGATGACTTTTCAATCCATTTAATATTTGGTCAATTGTCAACTTAATCACTGCACATCAACAGAAATTCCAAGCATGACTTACGATGTCAGATTTGGAGCAGTTGAGGCCATGTGAAAGTGCAGATATATATAATGCTGCACCCCACAATGCACTGGGCGTTCTCCCTGTCTGTGAGTAATATCAAATCAAACAGAACATTATAAGACTCTGGATACCTCAAAAAGTATCCGATAAAAAGACTGAAACAATGTTCATCTTTCCTATAATATCAAAAAAGAATTTCACACCTGTATCCAATGGTAATTCATACTTGCTATAATGGTCAGTGCATCATCAGAAATTTCCTTGTTTTTTCCTCCTGATAAACCTAAAACACAAATAATGGTTATTACAATCTCCCACTTGAAAACACATATCATATACATTCGGTTCCAAATGAAATAATTTAAAGACTCTGGTATAAAAGAAATAGAGAGGGGTATCCCGATACTCTCTAAGCTTCTAAGAATACAGTTCAAGAAGCCAATCAAGCCATTACCAATACTCTTCCTCTTTGGATTCAGGAAAGAGAAACCAAAGAACACTAGGAAAACCAACACAAGATCTGAATGTGCCCCTTAAGCTCAAGATAGAATTGGAAAAGGAAAAGTTTAAACAATAGATAGAGATGGAGTTCTTTTCCGGGGGAGGGGGGAGAACAGAAAGTTGAACGGGGTATTATCGTACACTCATATCAAATTAACATCATGTGTTGCTTAAATAAATAGAAGGCTTTAGGATAGAGGGGGGTGGAGTATTTGTATTGCTTGATAGATTTTCGAACCTTGTATTTCAAAATTTCAACCAATTGGCAAGAGAACATATCCAATGCCCTCTAATTTAATTACTGAAATAAAATCACTAATCAGCATTCAAGAGATTATAGAAACTTACTAGCTGTATATTTGTGTATGAAAATGGAAGGATCATGAAGTTTCTGACAAATGGCATGCTCGGTAAGATTTAAAACTTTGCAGAGCTGCAAAAATACAGCACCTAGTACATAACTGTAAACAATTTCAAAAGAAAATTATGTTATTGACACAAAAGCAAGGGATAATCATGATGGCAACAAGCTAAATTTGGCTGTGAAATGACAAGGCTCCTCACATATTTATCTGCAAGTAAATAGAAAAATCAATAAGAAGATATGGTTTTCTGTTTTCCCTGAAAAAGAAAGTCCAAAAGTAATATCAGAAAATGTCAACATTGCTAAATTCTAGTATGATTGCACATAAAACAAATTCAGGAATCAACTCGAAGGAAAAATAAACAACTTTCCCACACTAGATGCTACAACTCAATAACTGGCAAGTCACATTTGGAAAATGGTCTCAGTGTATTTCTTTACGACAAATCAATTGCAACTTTCACTATCATTTCCAGGGTATCATTAACACCTTGGGGTAAAAACATTTTATCTGCTAGCCATGTAGTTGGAGACTTATGAGTCACACTATGAAGATTTAGAAAAGAGTGCTTGACCACAAACTTAAGTGGTGAGACAATGATTCTTGAAAACTAATTTGGTTTATGTGAGGAAGACAACTATGGAAGTTATCTTTCTCCTAAAATAGTTGATCAGGAAATTAAAAGAAGAGCGGAAAAAAGAGACCCTGCTCTAGCCCCCTTTTTTTGAGAAGCTATATAATGAAATACTAAGATAAGTCCTTTAGTGAATGTTGGAAATGGAGTTAGTTTTTACCACTGCATAAACATGACAAAAGATGTGTATAGAGGGCATTCAAGCAAAGAATCGCAACACACAATCTTGTATGAAGCTTCCACCACACCCCCCAGAAAAACAGAATAAATAATTACCATTTTGTTAGAACAAAATAAAGAAGAAGAAGAAGAAGAGAAGAAAGGGAATCTTAACCACAGCAACAGTAATGGAAATAACAAAACAAATGAAACAAAAAAAGTACTCCAATTCCATATTTAGTTGTTGGCATTCTATTATGGAATATATAAAACTGTTTGTCCAGGTCCTTCTTCAAATTAATATGTTTGTGAAGAGTTAAAAACTACGCCTGGTAAGAATTCTCCATAGAATAAACAAGGGTGTTTTTAGTAGGTTAAGAAGCCTCACTCGTTCATGAAAGCATAAAAACACAAGCATAGCATGTTTCCTCAAAAAGATGGGATACTGAAAAGGCACAAAGGAGTTGGAGAGATGCATTCCTTACCGACATGCAATGTAAAGACAAGCAGCCTGTACTTGATCTGTCCTACGGCCCCTGGTGAAATTCCGTTCAACTGCTATCTACAGATAACAGATTAAGAGAATTCGATAAATTGATCAAAACATGCCTGTGATGTTGAAGCTTAGGTGCAAGGAAACATACTCTGTAATACACCATAGCTTGGTTAACTATGCCAAGATTTTCACCCATGCCTAAGCCATTTTTTATGTTTAGCATGCCATCACGTGCTGCAGGATAAAAGGAAATTAACCACTACCAAAAACACCACGCATAAGTTCATGATGTCCATGCAATTCCACAGGTAGATGTTCTTAATGGAATGAAAATACATAAATCTTTGGACGTTGAACAATCATTCTAGTCATGAACAGTGATCGTGGCATCTTACCTTGTAAAGGAGGAAAGCCAGGTTACAAAACAAATAGGGCAGGCTACTTAGGTGGTCTTTCCCAATCAAGGTTTATCCTGTCTTATCTCTTTCAATGGTTAGTTTATTGTGATCTTTTTGACAGTTAATATTAAATTAAATTTAAGAGTTAAAATTACTTCTTGCTGAGGCTTCACACTTTATAGAAGAAGACTGCTATTGCAGCAAAAACAAGGATTATTGTTCGTATCTAAAAACTTAAAAATAGCTACTTTGGTTGAGATTTCGTTTCTTTTTCTTACTTTAAGATAGAACTCTACATCTCTTTACGATATCTTCATTACCACTTTTATTAACCTTGGAGAGAACTCAAATTGGAAATCAGGACCCTTTCAAAATTTGATAAATAAAAAACCCCGTTATTCAAGACAACAAGTTTCATCTTTTGACAAGGAACCACTTTCTTTCGTAGTTTTTCTGTCGACTTAGAAATATTTAACAAGTACAACCACCAGAAACATGTGTCAGGAAATGAAATCTACTACAACATTAAGAAGGACAACAAACAAAGCATACCTCTTTCATACAACCTCTCCCGTGAAGCGTTTTCGCTTTCAACAGACCTAACAAACGAACCTGCTACATGACTCTACAAGTAAATGGAACCACATGAACATAAAGAGAAGAACACTAGGATCATTAATTAGCCACACCATTAACATTGAGTAGAAAAGCAAATAGTACATCAAAGAAAAGAAAGAAGAAGAAAAAAAACAGACCTCCCCCGACCTACTTTTTACAAAAGAGGCTTCAGATGAAAGATAACTGAACTCCAGAACTTTCCCACAGCGACTACATGACCTTCAAAACACCAAACATTTATAACAGAAAATTAATAATATAAGAATCATGTCATGAAAACAATCATAAATAAAACAACAAAAATCTGAATGTAATGACAAATAAAGGACTTACACGATGCCATTTTCGTCATAATATGCTTGAACCTTTTGTCGACAAGAGCCACAAGACCTCATTGTGTACCTTTACCGAATGAAAAGAAAAAAGAATTACAAAATCAACAGCAGATGAAGAACAAACTATCAATTTGAAACTTAATTGAGAAATTCATTCGAATCAGAAACGCAACAGATTTTCTTACCACTCGCACTATTTTTCTTTCGTTTTCTCGGAAAATTTCTGAAGATAGAGAGTTCGGAGAAAAAAATACGGTTTAGGGTTTATCACAACTGACACGAGCCAGTTATCCTGATAGAAGAGCGGGGTTTTAGGAGGGAAAAAAACGCTTTCCAGGTATAGCAGAGCCTGGGCTGTTTTGTTAAAGGTCCCTCATCTTTTTTTTATTATTATTAATTGTTTTGTTTTTCCTTTGTGAATAAAATTTTCTTTAAATAAAATTATTAAAATTATATTTAAAAAATAATATACATGTCATAATTTTAAATACAATTATATTTTTTTATGGTCATAAAAATTTTATTCAATGAAAATAAAATATTTATTTTATTATTTTTCATTGTAATTTTTTAAAATATTCTATCAAATTAATTATGTTTTAATTTTTTTATATAATAGGTTAAAAATCATTAAGAATGATTTTTTTTATTGTAACTTGTTTTTCAAAACACATGAATAAAAAGAAAAATTGACTTAAAAAAAATATTTTATTGCAAAATTAATAAAAATAGATTTTGAATGTGACAGCGTGCGTGAAAAACTAATACATGCTAATGATACTAATATAATATTATATGGATATGGGATATTAATGTCAATTAATTTATTTTTTTTGTTTCAATGTATTAAAATTTCTAATGTTGCTTAGTTTATTAATCAAAGGAAGAAGCTTTAGAACCCACAAACAATCTCCAAAAAAAAGAATAAAAAAACCTCCATCAAATCTCATAAACTGCTATCAGTAGTTCCCACAACTTTTTATCAATCAAGAAGATATGGCTAGGTTGGTTATTATTACAGTTTGTCTAATATTGGAATAGTTGTTTTAATTGTGATTTAAAAAAATTATTTTATGAAAAATAGTTTTAGTGGAGGTTGGTTTAATATTTATATATATTTTGTTAAAAATATGATTTAAATTAAGATTAAATAAAAAATAATTTAATGTATTTGGTTAAAAATATCTTATAAATTAAGATTATAAAATAAATCATATATATATATATTAATAATTTTAAATTTAAATATTATAGATTTAGCTATTATTATTACACCATAAAATAAATAATATTTTATATAAAAATTTTATTATTATTTCATTAAATTATTTACAATTCTATTACATATAAAATTCATCCGATAAAAACTATAATTTTTTAAGTATATAATAAAATTAGATAAAATATTATTATAAATAAAATTAAAATTACAATACAAGTAAATTTAATTTATTTTAAACTAATTTTTTTAAAACAAAAAAAAATTATTATTCATTCAGGTAAATTAAATTTAATTGAACTGATTTTTTTTAAAGAAACTGTTCATTAAAGTTTAAAGTCACAATAAACTTAAAATTTACTCGTACTATTCATTTAAATTAACAAAAATATAGAGCTTTTTAATTTTTCTTGTATTTTAAAGGCAATATATAATTTACTCGTACTATTCATTTAAATTTACAAAAATATAGAGCTTTTTAATTTTTCTTGTATTTTAAAGGCAATATATAATAAATCCATTAAAAATAAATTATATTTTTATATTTATCAAATAATTATTTTGTTGTGGTTGCTTCAGGAAGCAACCACGCCAACAAATAAACAGAGTACTCTTAGGCTATCAGCTGTGAGATTAATTAGATAAACAAATCGTTTGTACAGTTAAAACGATTTGATTAATTCCACCAACTTGTTCAAGGAATTATAGGAAGAACCACCAGTTCTGATGCAAAGTTCTGCTTTCTCCTTCAAGTCCATTGCCCTCTGCCTCATCTCATCCCCCTCTTTATCAACCATCAGCCTTGTAATAACACCTTCTATTTCTCCCCTCTCCAATTCATCCTCCAAATGCAGACCAACTCTCCATACTTGACTTACATACCTAGCTGTAACCTTCTGATCCCCAAAGCTTGGTCTGCATATCATCGGAACCCCTTCAGATATACTTTCAAGCAATGAGTTCCAACCACAGTGGCTCCAAAACCCTCCTACTGCATTATGTGCCAAAACTTCTTTTTGCGGTGCCCATTTCACAACTCGACCCTTCTCTCCAGCAATTTCTCTGAATCCCTCAGGCAATGACTCAGCCCGTTCTGAACCATGTACTGAGCCAGGTCGAACCACCCACAAGAAGGGTTGTTTGCTATTTGCCAAACCCCAAGCCATTTCTAGTATGTCTTTCTCATTCATGGAAGCTAAACTTCCTATACTTACATACATGACCGAGCTCGGAGCTTGCCTGTCAAGCCATGACATGCAGTTAGTGTCCTCTTCAAGTAAGCTACAGGATGGTGCAGGAACAATCTTGTGAATCGGTCCTATTGCAAAGATTGGAACATGGCAGTGTTGTTGAAGCTTTGCTAACGATGACCCTTCAAGGCAGTCCATTGTATTGTAAACGATTGCTGAAGACCTTCTTACATCTCGTGCATTACCTATTAATTTAAAGAAATTTTTCACTGGTCCAAAACTGGAGATGGGCAAATCTCGCTGTCTGAGGGGAGGATGCTCCAGCACTGCTTTCTGGGACAAAGGATCTGTACATTAGAGGAAAGATCTTGTAAAAATTAATGTAAAAATATTATAATATGGTCTCATAATATAGATGAAATCCAGAAGTAAATAAATTCCAAAGCAACCAATATGGATACTATCCCCTGCGCCTCCACAAGAAGCAGACTAGGAGGCAAGACGGGGGATCTGCACCTTCTAAAAATAGAAGCACGTGAAGGTAAGGAGAAACTCAGGTTCGTTTCAGTTTTATCCATTCTACATCAGCAAATGGATGTTCATGGAGATCCACAAGACTTTGATACAAATGTCTCCTCATAAATAACAGACAAAAAAAAAAAAAACTTGAGACACGAGTAAAAACCTTAGCAGGCAAAATCAGTATACGACTTAAGGGAAAATGCCTTGCATAGTTGCATGATTTCATAAACATAGCCAAAACCACAAACCTGCCAAGGGGATGCGACCCAGCAAATACATTTCGGTAAGAACACTGCGAGCGAGAAAAGTGTTAGCATTGCTAGTGCGAAATATAAGGCTTGGAAGCTTGAGATTATGAGCCGTGGCTTCAGAGAAGTATGAAAGTTCATCATAAATGACACAGGCAATTTGATCATCACGTGTCTCCTGTTCCTTCACTAGCTTGGCCAGGCATTCTTGGAAAGGTAATTGGCATTTGTCGTTGAGAACCAAAACAAAGGCAGTTAGGTCAAGAGAAGCGATGTCATGGTCAGATAAGCCATCCTGAATGAACAGGAAGTTAAAATCAGGATAGTTGGAAGGGTCAGGAGAATTGAATCGGGTGTGAACAATGGTGATGGAAAATCCTTTAGAATGAAGGACAGCACTCAGCTGAAGCAATGGATTGATGTGGCCTTGGAATGGAGCTGCTACTAACACCAATCTACGACGCTGTTCATGCCCTTCCTCAGCCATGTTGAAATCAATAGAAAGGTTCCTCTGTACAAGCTTTATGTTGAAATTACTGGGAATGGCTGCTCACAACTATTAACCTCCGCCCTGGTTAGATTTCAGGAAGCATTAGCATGGCAATGTGAGGACAGATTTGATCATTCCAAATAAAGATCTGGTGTTCTATTTCTCTCTCTTCAATGATGGTCGAAAATTTGGATGACAAAGATTGGTTTGGACTTCTGCTCTCTGCAATCAAATCAATAAAGATTAAAGATCCAAACAAACAAATGCCCAAAACTCTGTTGTGCCAATCGAACAGAGTTTTGAAACTTGACTGAATTTGGCAAGAAAACACATAATCATAGAATTTCAAGACTTAAAAAACAAACTTTTTTCACATCTTAGCCTGTTATTATCTTCTTCACAGCTTTCTAACCAAACAAACAGTGAAAGAGGAGAAAGTTATTGTATTTTTACAAACATGCTAGGAAAGGAGAAAAAAGGGTCTTGCCATCAAAGCTTTTTGTTGCAGTGGTAACGGAGAGACAATTGAACTGAAAGTGAAGCCAATACAGAGGAGGTAAAAGGGACTCAAAATCAAAGACTCAAGAACTAGAACCTTTAACAAGACAAAGCTCAAAATCTCCGACAAAAGAAAGAAGGAATAATAGTTTATTCAGTATATGTTTTTATATTAAAATAATCATCGAACGCGCTGTAACCTGCTGCCAAGTCTTCGTTTGTTTTTGACCGGTTTTTTATATCTGCAGTAAAACAAACGCAAAAATATACTTGATAACAAATAAAAAATTGCATTATACTCAGAATCTCTTAAAAAATTAAATTTAAAACACAGTTTTTAGTTTTTATATATTTTTAACTAAATTTTGTAAAATTCTATTTATTATTACATTTCAAAAGTATTTAAAAAAATAAAAAAAAAATATTTTTTGTTTTAAATTGATATATTTTTTGTGGTTTTAGATCATTTTCATGCGCTGATATAAAAAATAATTTTTAAAAAATAAAAAAATATTATTTTGATATATTTTTAAGTAAAAAATATTTTAAAAAACAACCACAATCACACTTCCACCAAACATTTATTACATATTTTTTGTTATATATAAATTTTAATTATAATTTTTATCAAACATATATTTAATTTAATTAATTATAATTAATTATATTTTTAAAAAATTTATTTTTTTAATATATATTTAAATTCAACTAACTATAACTAATTATATTATTTTAAAATTTATTTTTTTAAATCACAAATATACCTACTTCAAAAACAAACTCATTTTTAGTTGAAAAACTGACTGAAAAAGCATAAGCATTTTAGCAGAGTTTACATTTTTTTTATTATTATTATCAATATCAATTATCTAAATTAGCTTACATGTAATTATATAAACCCTAAATATAATAACATTGTAAACTTTCAATGGCGTTGAAAAATTTTAAATTTATGGGTATTAAACAACTCAAAATTTAGCTAATTAAACTACCCTTGCTTGCAGTGCCTACACCTTTTTTGAGTGTCCGGGTCAGTTTGCATGCATCACGATTAATCTCATGGGCTCTCAAGTTAACAACCATGTAAGTCTCCAATGACTATGGGCTCTCAAGTTAACGACCATGTAAGTCTCCAATGACTATTATATAAACAACCGAAAACTCAAACTTGAAATTATAGAGGAAACAAACTCTTTAATTCCAATTCTTTATTACTTGAACACCGCATGGTTTGCAGTGTCTAGATTTGCTCGATAGGGTGAGGTCACCGCATCAAGAAGGTGGAATCTGACTCACTCTGACATTGAGTTGAAAATTGTTTGTTAGTAAAACTAGGGGCAGCCCGTGAGCATTCCGCCTGCAAAATGTGGTTGCCTGACGGGAAAATAACTTCTTTATTTTTTGACAGGGCCGGCTGCTATAGCTCCCATAATTAACCAAAGCATAAACACCCACTAAACCCATAATTATATCATTACGGAAAATTAAATACTCCATTTCAACACGCAGAGTCTCTGTGAGGTGGACCACCAAAACTTACACAATCACAGAGCAGGGCGGCCAAAACTCGAAAGGGACACGTTTCTTTACTCTAAGCTTTCTGTACGACCATACGAATATGAAGAATTACGGGGTTAGCTTAGAAATATATTTTTGGTTGTTTTTTAAAATATTTTTAAAAAATTTTAAAAATAATTTCTGAAATCATAACATCAAAATAACTAAAAATATTTAAAAAATATTAATTTAAAATAAAAAAAAAATTAAAAAGATTTTTAAAACTCAAAAATAAATAATCCCAATAAAATAGCTTTTGACATATACGAAGAGTGATCCCCTCTTCTAGTTGTCAGCATTATAAGATATGTTCCATTAAATTGCTGGTGATTAATAGCATCTCTAACGGAGAAGCCAAATAGATAGTAAAAAATAAAAAATTAATATTTTAGTTTTTTTTTATTTATTTTACAGATTCAAAGAGAAATGCCAAATAAAATACTAAAATGTCTTTTTTCTCTTACAAATGTTATTTTTATATATCTCTTTAAAGAGTTAAAACCAACCAAGTGGGACCATTAAAAAAATAGACCAATTAAATATAGATATGTGGAAAAAAATAACATTAAACAATATTAAAAAATAATAAAATATTTATTTTTTTTATTCTAATATAAATGACTTTTTAAATAGTTTTTTTTTATTGAAATAGATATGATAAGATAAGTTATACTATTCAAAATACTATTTTATCAATTTAGCTTCTTAAAATAATATTTTGGACTGGAAATGCTCTAATAGTAAGAGCCATCCTCCACCAAACAAGGCTTCGCCTTCTCCTTAAATTTTACTACTGCTCTTTGTCTCACCTTCTCCCCGTCTTTATCCCCATTAATTTTCTTACAGCTTCGTGTATTTTCCCTCTCTCAAATTCGTTGTCTAATTCAAGGTCTACCTTCCATAGACGACAAACAGGCTTCATATTCAAACGCTGGTCTCCAAAAAATGGCCCGCGTGGCATTAGAATTCCTTCACACACACGCTCCAGTGTTGAATTCCATCCACAGTCGGCCCCAAATCCTCGCGCACTGCAACATGTCCTAATATATACTTCCTTCTGGAGAGCCCATTTCACAGCGCAGACTCTATTTCCAGCTCTAGCTACAGAATTCATCGGCAATAGCTTAGTCAAATCTGAACCTCGAACCAAACCAGGCCTAATTAACCACCCACAAGAACTGAAGAAAGGACGTTGCTCCAGCTAGGCCCTGGAAAGAAAAATCTCTAACATGGTTGATCTTAGAAGTCTGTACTGTTGCTGGACTCGCATGGGACTCCTAAGGGTCTGTGTCCCAGTTGTCTTTGCACGTGAGGGGACCGAATCATCGAGGTTCAATCACATGCTAATGTATTTACACTTATAGTCCGTAGATATGTATTTTATTGTCGGGCTAATGGATGGAAACACGCCATTACAAAAACAGTAATTTGTGTTAGTAATTTCCTTAAAAAAGTTTTCATGTCACCGACATAAATACTATATATAATTTTATTAGAGATTAAATAGTAACAATTATATTTATGGTAATTATTTTTTGACTTTTTAAAATATATCAACAAACTTATTCCGTTTATAAAACCAAAAATAATTATTTTAAAATATATTTTTTAAATGGAAGTAGAAAATAATTAATATAAATCAACATCCACTAATAGTCGAAAACCTTGTTGTTTGGGAAAAAAAATCAACTCAAACAAATTAGAAACAAATAAATTCATTTAATTAAAATTGAACAAAAAAATTAACTAATAATAATTAAAATCAATCTTATACATTTAATTGAAATTGAACAACAAAATTGAAAAACAAAATCCATCTAAAATCCAACAAAATTGTTTTCATATCAAAACAATTCCTACAATTACATTCATATAATTATTAAGAATATAAAAATTAAAAAAAAAATATACTACAAAAGGCAACAAAAAAAAATCTTATTATGAGTGAAGCTGAGAAAAGAAAAAAAATAAATTCATAAAATATATCAATTAATAAAAAAATTTAAGAGAAAGAAAAGGAAAGGAAAAGATATATCTAAGCACGGGGAAGAAGAGAAAAAAAGAAGTTGAGAAGAGAAAAGAAAGCAATAAAAGAGTGTTCGTGAATTTTACAAAAAAAAAAAAGAGAAAAAAGAAAGATGATGAAAAGGGATGACTAAGAGGAAGAGGTGCCTTTAGTGTGAAATTAGCATTCCCGGTCTTTTAATTGAGCTTTTTTTATAAATAGTTTTACTAACAAATAATTAAATATTAATATTTTTAATTATTTTTTAGTAATTCTATCTATAATATTTAATTTAAATTTTTAATTTAATCAAAAAATTTCAAAAATTCTCTAAATATATCAAATGACTTTTTAGTCCATCATAAATTATGTTCGTAATATTTAATTAATTTTTTTTTAATTAAAAAATTTTAAAACTCCTTTAATTATCACGAATGACTTTTCAATTTATCGGAGATTCTGTCTATAATATTTAATTTAAATTTTTAATTTAATCAAAAAATTTCAAAAAATCCTTTAAATATCATTAATGACTTTCTAGTTTGTTGGAGATGATATCTATAAAAAACAATAATTAACAATATAATTGAGATATGAACAATTCTAGAGCTCTTAGAAAAAATAGCAACAAATCTAATACATTGATAATCATGTATATAATTGATAACATGAATCATGCAATTAAGAAGTTAATAATTTCAAAGCTTTCTAGAATATATCGATGAATTTAATTTGTTGGTGATGCACTTTATATTTAACACAATAAACACTGCTAAAAAAAATAAATAATTTTAATATTATATGAAATATATTGGCAAATTTTATTATGTCATTATATTTATTAGTATTTTATAGTTTTTATCGTACTTTTTTGCCTTAAAAAAAGAAGAAGAAATGATCATCAAATTCACATTGAAAACCTTCATAAACATCATATGTCATCCTAGGATGAACCCTAATTGATATAGTTTCAGCAACACCACGAAATAACACTTTTGAAGCTCAAAGAAAGGTGTACCTTCCTTTATAGTATGGTGGCTTCTTTAACATGTTGGCGCGTGCATTACATGCAATGGACACTTTTGTGCTTTCTTTATTCATATTAACCCCTAATTTTATAATATCTCTTCAATTGAATCTCAAAATTCATCTAACTCGATCCTAGGCTCGTTCTTTTAATTTTGTACCGATTCTCCAACAACCATTCGATTTAGTCTTGAATAGCTTCTCACCCAGGACTAATTAAGGAAAGAAAAAGGTAATAGAAAAAGAATGAGACAATTGGTCCAAGTTAGTGTATTGTGGTTGTATTCCGGACTCGAGTATCAAATTTGATGGCTAATCTGGATTAATAATGAATGTTTGAATATATGGTTATCTTAATATTAAAAAAAAAATATTTTTAATTTTTTTAATTGACTTACATATTTAGTAATTCGTCTAAGTCATCTTTATACTTGTCCAATCAATTAAATTACTTCATTACAACTCCTGTATATTTTTATTTAAAACTCAGATTAGATAAAGGATTGAATTATGAAATTTTAAAATTGACATA